AGGGGGGCTGAGCCCATGGGGCTCAGAGACTCAATGCCGCTGCCAGAAGAAAGAATAGGACCAACACAGAATGAAGCAGCCAATAGTCATCACACTTGTGAGAGCACCTCAGCATGGATTACCATGCCAACCTCGTTTCAGAGCTGACGAAACAAAGGCTCAGAGAGGTTGAGCCACTTGTCCAGGGACACCCAGCAAGTGAGGAAGTCAAGGTTCAAATCCAGGTAACCAGAGCTGGGTGCCAGGTTGTGCCCCGGGTTTTGGGGCCACAGGGGTGAGAGAAGAGGAGCCTGGGGTGGGGTTGGAGCTGTGTGGGGGGGTCTGTGTCTGATCCACATTTGTGTCCCCATGACCCAGCATGGTCTGTGCCCAGAGAACCTCGCTGACTGGCCTTGAATGGGACAGTGGGGCCGGGGCTGCTCTGTTTATTAAGGCTCTGGTTCAGAGTGGGTTTGATGGGGAAATGGGTAGGTTTTCTGGGAAGAGCTAGAGTGTTTCTAATCTAAGGAATGTTTTTTTGAAGAGAAAATGCTTCAGATTTTCCATGAGGTCAGTGGGAAGTTGCAGAATTGCAGTGGGAGTCCAGGGTCATGGCGGATGGGGTGTCCCCAGCTGCCTTTGTATCTCTGGCGTCTGGATGAGACTGGCATCATGCCAGGAGAAGAGACGAGCATTTGTCAGTTGATTCACAAGTGATGGGGTCTTTGAGAGGTTCCCCCAAATTGTATAGCCCCGTGCCTGGTAACATGGGGCATCCTTACCAGCACAGTCACTTTTCAAGGTCATTTCACTTCCTTTCCCATGACAACTGTTGCTGGCCGGTGACACAGGGAGATGGTCAGTTGGCCTGGAACAGCTGACCTGTCCGCAGTGTGACAGGCCTGCACAGGGCGTGGTGGGCGCCAGTCGGGCCAGTTTGTCATCACCCAGCTGCTTGGGCATGTGTGGGCACAGTGGTGGGCTCCCATGCCTGACCTTTGCCGCCTGACCCATCCCCACAATATCCTTGCTAAGAAGTTGTCTGAATGCAGCCATATTTGTATGGAGCTGGGGAGACCTCACGGGGCTTAGTAAGGGTGGCTTGTCTGTTTTGGGGTGGAGGCTCAGGACCCTCACCCAGAGGAGAGCCAGGTGGGATAACAGGAGTTCCCCGTCAGAGGTAGCGGGGCAAGCATGCTCTAGCATAGCCCTGCCCAGAGGACACAGGGCCACACAAGTCATGTGAGGTTTTTAGTAGTCACTGTAAAAATATATAAAAAGAAACAGGTGAAATTAATTTTAGCAATGTGTTTCATTTAGCCCAATATAGCTAAAGTAATATTTCAACATGTTTCAAAGTCCAATCAATATTAACATCATTAAGATGCTTTACATTCTTCTTTGTTCCACTAAGTCTTTGGAATCTAGTGTGTGTTTTGCACTGACAGCACAGCTCCATTTGGACATTTCAAGTGCTCAGAGGCCACGTGTGGCTCGTAGCTGCCGTGCTGGACACATGGCTCTAGAAGGAAGGGGCATGGTGCCTGGGAAGCCCTGAGCCTGGTGACATGTCAGAGATTCCAGGGACTACAGAGCCCATTTTCAAGTCTAATCTAATTAATTATTATCAAAACAAGGAGCTATCTACTGGAAGTGGATATGGGACCTCCCCCCTCAAACAAGTAAATGCTACTGCAGGCTGTCTGTTTTGATTCAAAATAATTTCCATCCCATATTCCATCTCCTCCCCCAATTCTTCCTATTATATAAGTTCAGCTGCTTTCACTGAGAGACCCAAGACTATAGTGTCTTAAACAAGATAAAATTTGCTTCTGTCATGGAAGATTTGGGTAGATGGTCCAGGGCTCATAACACCAAGGTTGTCAGTTCGATTCCCACATGGGCCAAGGAGCTGCGCCCTCCACAACTAGATTGAAGACAACTACTTGACTTGGAGCTGATGGGTCCTGGAAAAATGCACTGTTCCCCAATAAAATTTCTTTAAAAAAAAAATAAAAATAAAACAAAAACATACTAATTCATTAAAATAGAAAGTTAGTATTCATTTAATAATTATAAACAAAGTAAATGGTAATATATTATTTATATATGAATAAATAGATTTGAAAATGAATTTGTATTTATATAAAATGATATTCATTTAGAAATATTAATTTATTTTAAAAATAATGATAAACCCATAATGTGTTAAAAATAATGTTTTTAAAGATTTTTTAAAATTTTTTTTATTGGGGAATTGAGGGGATGGGAACAGTGCTGGGGAACTGGGGGAACGGGAACAGACAAGTTGCTGTCTTTTTGTTCTTCAGTCTAGTTGTGGAGGACGTTGCTTCACTGGCCCAAGTTGGCACCATCATTGCGCTCTTCTCTGGCGAGGCAGATCAGTCGCCGGCTTCTGGACAGCCGCTCACTGCGGCTGCTGGCCGCTCACGCTGGCTGCTGGCTACATACGGTAGCCCATGGCAACCCACTGCCACAGGGGCTGCAGCCTATGCCGTCGCCGGCGACTCACGGCAGCCCAGCTCCAGGTTGAGCTGTTGTTCAGCATCTTAGCTGTAGAGGGCAGTGTCACTGGCCCTCATATGTGGGATCCGAACCGGGTCCCTCTGGCATCCCAAGCCAGTTCTTAACCATCGCGCCACTCGGCTGGCCCTAAAAATAATGTTTTTAAATGAAAACATAAGTATTCAACCAAAACAACATATCACAACAGATTGAACGTAGAAGCAGATATGAGAATCTACCTGACTCCTAAGTAAGCCAGACAAAAGATATTTGCAAAAATATCGTTAAGTTTGTTGCTGTTGTTTCAGAGAATACTTATGGGAACATTGCCCTCGTAGCTACTGACAGAGGATGGCGGGGACTGGGCAGGCCGGCGTGACCCTCTGTTTGTGGGACTCAACCCCTTTGTCTATCTGTCTATCTGTCTGTCTGTCTGTCTGGGAGACAGGAGGGGATTGTGTTTGCTGTGTCACTTGCAGTCTCATCAGCTGGCCCATGTGTGACAACCTTTTGAAAAGTATCTAACTTCCACCATTTTTACAGATGAGGAGAGCGAGGCCCAGAAGGGAGAGTGACCGCTTCAGAGTCACCCTGCTCTTCTTCAGCGTTGGTGCAGGCACAGCCCAGGGCTGTCCTGTCCCCTCCGTTTCCGTGTGTGTTCAGTTGTCTCTTGTGCCTTAAGAGTGGTCTGTAGGGGGCCCAACGCCCACTAGAGGGCGCCAAATCCCAGGCTTCGGGAGGCAGCCCTTCCCCCATGGAATGGGCGTCACAGAGGCTGCCCCGTCCGGCAGCCCCACTCCAAGGCTGGCCCCAGTCCAGGTTTCAGAGAATTCAGAGCTCAGGTCCCAGGGACTCTGGGGCCCCCTGAGCCTAAGATAACAGGGTGGAGTGGAGTTAGGCCAGAGGAGAGGGATGCGAGACCCTGAGACAGCGACCAAGGAGGCTCTGGGGCCCCTTCACTGTCCCTAAACATTCCGCAAACTCTTGCAGCACTCCTACCACTGCTGACCTTGGAGTTTAGATGCTGCCTTACTCATTCCAACGTTTTTCTAAGTTAAATTAAAAACTCAAAACTAATTTTTATCTGAGTAAGCTGCCCAGCTTTGTCAAGGGAAAATGATTTCTTACCCCAGCAATTTATGGGTCCGGCATCACATTCATGTTGTATGTGATATAATAGCAGAAGGACGGATCCCCCTCGAAACTGACAACGAAACAAAAACCATGTGCCAGGCTGAGGGGTGGGGGAGGGGAGAAAGTGTCTTGAGACCCTGCACTCTGGGGCAGCCACCCTTGGCCTCTACCCTGTCCTCCTGACACCCCCAGCCTGTGCCAGGAGCTATCCTGAGTCCTGGGAACCCTGTCCCTCTGAATAACAGGACTTGACCCAGGAAACGTCACCAAGTTCCCGAAGTGGCAAAAGAGCATGGAGGGCCCCTAGGGGGAGAGGGGTGATCCTGTGGCAGAGAAGGGACATACCCCTGAACTGAGGGGGTGGGGCAGGGTCCTGTTGGGCCTCTGTAGGTAGGGGTCCCCACACCCACATTGTCCCTCCAGGGGTGCCCCCCAGGCCTCTACCTCTTCTTAATTCATTGTCCTCAACCATTTTGTCCCCAATCGTCTCCTTTATTGCCTCAATCCAATCTAGATTAGACAAATTAACCAGCCAGAGCAAGCCCATTTGTCATACTAAAACTTTAAATATTGACATACATGGTGTTTGTCCAAAGTGTGTGTCTAGCTGTTTCACGTGGAGTCACAATTTCACCTATAACTGTTGCCTCACAACTGTTGGGGTTAACAGTGATTCTCTAGAGCAGCGGTTCTCAACCTGTGGGGCGCGACCTTTTTGGGGATCGAATGACACTTTCACAGGGGTCGCCTAAGACCATGGAAAACAAAAAGATACTTACATTATGATTCATAACAGTAGCAAAATTACAGTTATAGAGTAGCAACGAAAATGATTTTATGGTTGGGGGTCACCACAACATGTATTAAGGGGTCGCAGCATTAGGAAGGTTGAGAACCGCTGCTCTAGAGGAATCGCAGGCCCGCTTTCAAAGCACAATAGGCATAGCTTTTGAAAATCTTTTGTTTCTCAAACAATATGTTTGTTCTAATTATAGGATTGAAATGTAACTTTATATCTATTGAATCTAATAAAACATTGTATTTTACTTGTTTTTTTTTAATTTTTCTTGTAATTCACTTTTATTGCACTTTTACAAAAGTATCAATTTGCAAGGTTAGGAAAAAAGGAGGAGCTTCCCGGCAGATAGTTTGAGAAGCTGTGGGCAGGACCCCATCCACAGGGACAGGGAAACCCAGAGACCCTGACCTGGGGGCTGCAGCAAGTTCTTAGGAGATTTCGTAGGGGATTGCAGACACTGGGAACCCTGTCTGGGGGCAAAAAGGGTGGTGAATAGGTGAATAGTGAACATTCATTTTTTTTTTCCCAGCAAGGATGGGCCCCTCTCGAGGTGGACTGAACCCTGGCCTGGGCATAGCCCTCACAGGTACCAACCAACACAACTTTCTACAGCCAGTCATTACTATTTAGTTAAAAAACTCTCCTAGTGAATGTTTTGGATGCCACTTCATTCCATTTAGCGTTTCAGGCAGCACATAAAGACTGACTTCCACACCAGTGAGCGTGGGGAACCAGAGATGAGTGTGAACCATAGGAAAATTGACCCTCAGTGGATTTTCAATCCTAATCACGTTATATAAGCAACCCAAAAAGAAAACAAAAGAAAAAACTCAAGCCATGCATTTTATTTAAAAGGGTGTGAACTGATGCTGGGCAGAAGCAAACACTGATCTTCTGGAGAGAAAGGTGCTTTCATTCTAGGGGTCAAATTACTCCTACAGATAGTTTTTAGAGGACAATGAGCTGCCTACGAAAAATAAGCAAGCTCACAAGGACAGAGGAACAAGGAGCAGGACCCCGCCGAAGCTTCAGGCAGCAGGGACCTGCAAAGACCTCAGCCATCAGTGATAACCGTGCTCATCCGATGTGGACCATAGAACTTGCGGTGACTAGGCCTAAAGAAATGCAAGACAGGCTGGGGCTGCATAGCTCAACTGGAGGAGGACTGAGGATGGGGGACGGAGGAGGCTGTGAGTGCATTCCTGAAATTCTTCAGACTCATGAGGATGGTGGGAAGTGAACACTGGAGCTGCAGGCACTTGCAGAGAGAAAGTTCAGGCGGCTGGCTGGTTCCCCACTGACTGCACAGGGCGGGGACCCCCTCCCCACTCAGAACCCCAGGCCAAAGGCCATGGGGTATGCAGTCATCATTGCAAAACAGATGCCGCTGGACTCTCTGGAATTTAGGCGGGTTTGAGTGCCAAGAAATCTCCTAGGTTAGAACACTTAGACATCTGGGATGAAATACAACAAAAGTCCTTTAATCTTCATTGGGATCCTAACAAAGGGAAAACTCCACTAACCAACAATGAAACCGGAGCTGAAGACCAGTTGTTAAGCTGACACTGACGTGACAGTGGCCCTGGGAATGTTCGCTCCTCCAGGAGCCAAGACCTTCCATTTTAATGGCCATACGGAGATGGGGACAGGCTTTGACCTGGGCGAGGTCAGCACTCAGGACTCAGGACGGTGGAGGATGACACCATGACAGCAAGAATTGCTAAGTGCTGGGGCGACAACAGGCAAGTAAATAAAGAGCAAAGACACCCATACCTGGGCATCTCTTGCTGAGACTCCCATCAACCCTGCCGTCCCTCCCCAGCAACAGCTGGTCCAGCTCAACCCTAACAGTCACTCAGCACAGTTTCTTGATCAAATTACTGGAAAGCAGGGCTTCCTCCCTCCCTGGCCTCCCAGTGAGTTCTCAGAGTTTCTTTTTACATCAACAGCACACGCCTTTGTCCCCTCTTGTGGACTGATGATGAGTAAAAAAAAAAACAACACAGAAGGAATGCTTGACCTCATCTCAGCGAATAGGATTCTATCAGTCATGAAAGCCACCAGCTGCCACGACACCGTGGAACCACCTTTGGGGCCCCTTGACAATCTATGGAGAGCACAGCGATTCCAATCAGGAATTTGGCGATGGACATAATCAGTAACAGGTGTGCCCAAGGGCTCCGGGGGGAGGGGGGAAACAAAGTGGTTATTTTAAACTGTTAGAAAAGCAAAACATTAATTGGAAACCACTTAGATGTAGAATTCGTTAAATGTTGAAAAAAAATTGAACTACCAAGTGTAGTGAGAGGGTTTTAAATTATGCTGTAGACGGTGCTTCTCCAACTCGGGGTGCATCAAGGAACCCGGAGAGCAAATGAAAGATAGGGCCTGGGTCTCCGTGCTGCCATGCTCTCCAGGCAATTCCGAGGCCCCTGAAGCTTAAGAGCACTCCCAAAGCTGGAGGAAACCAAGGGGAAACGACGTGTCACCAAATGACAAATAAGGTCCGCTCTGGATCTCATGTCATTTTACAAACACATTTGGAGGTGTGCAGACGCAGACTAGAAAGAGATGCCTCATGCCAAGTACTCGCTCTCTTGGAAGGGAAGTCGATCTTGGTGTTTCAACGCTTTGGCTCATCTGAGACATCTGCTCTATTATATGATTAGAAAACGACCTCCCAGGCCATGGCCCGGGTTACAGGGCCCTGTTGGGGGGTGTAAATCTTCACCACCCAAGTGTGATTTGAGAACCCCAGGCGGCCCCATCCCTGAGAGCTACTTAGGCAGCACAGCTGGGCCCCACTCCGGAGCACCCAGCACTTGCCGGGAAGAAAAGGGCCCTCCCTGGCAGGACTTAGGGTTCACAGAATCAGGAAGAGGCAGGAGTAGACAGCAGGGCAGAGGAACCCCATCTTTGAGCCTGAATCGGGATGGGAAGGTCTGCAGTTTCGGGCAGACCGCTTGTTAGCACAGGGTCCCTAGAATGAAACCACTCTGGCCCTGGTGATATTGGTAGGAGGGAGGGGCCTGGGTGCTAGCCTGTCCCAGGATTGTCCCCACCTGTCCCAGTCCTCACTAGCCCCAGCACCTGTGAGGGGGGACTCTCGATCACCTGCTACTGACCCCTCAGGCCTGGCACAGACTGCCCAGGGTCAGAGGTCCTGCCGGCTTCTTCCAGTCCCACCTCCCCTGGGCCTTACAGCTGAACTCACTCAGGCCAGTGGGTGAGCCCCAACCCTGCCTGGGGAGGAGGGTTTAAGGAGTCCGGGGTGGGGGATCCCGGAGCTGGCCGGACTGCCTGACCACAACTTGGTGGGCCCACTCTGTTTTGTGCTATGCAAGGTGCGCTGGGGCTCCCAGGCTCAGGAGTCTCGTCCTGGGGCCTCCTCGTCTCAGATTTCGAGAAGCCCAGGCCTCAGCTCCTAGAACATGGTGGGTGGAGCCTCAACCCTCACAGAGACCCCCGAGGATGCCAGTGAGCCCAGGACAAGCCTGTGACGCTGCTGCCCCCAACCCTGCCCCATTTCTGACTCTCCTTGGCCATCCCTTTGGTCTCTGTCCTTTTCCTTTAGAGAAGCCACTGTGGCGCCCAAGGCGGGAGGTCCCCTCTGCCCCACCTTGCCCTCTTGCCTCATTGGACCCTGAGCCCAGCAGAGGGAGCACTGGGACCAGCCAGGGGCAGAGGTGGTGCTGAGAGAGCTCTGGGAGCCATTTGCTTCCACATGGCCCGGCAAGGCCTAGTGTTGGGCACACTACAGCACAGGTGAAGTGGGCTTGTTGTCAGAAAGTGGGCCCTTTTCGGCATGAAATCCAGGTCCTTGGCAACGCGAGCAAGGAATTGAACGAGATGCCAGAGTAAAGCACTGAAAAAGTAGTTTATTCGAAAAGATAATACATTTCAAAGAGTAGAAGTGGGCCCGAGCAGTAGAGAATGGCTCAAGGGCCCATTATTAGAAGAGAAATTACATTCCAAAGAGTTCGGAGCAGGCCACGCACAAAGGTAAGGCTCAAAGGGCTCAAAAAGGAAGAAGCGGTCAAGAGAGCAGGGCGTCCAAAAAGGGAAAAATGGAAAAAGGCTGGAACTTTCCAGGACTTGGGGTTTTTATCCCTTCTCTAGAATGGGCTGTTCCCCTAAGGGCGTGGGACCACTTGATTGGCACCTGTGATTGACAGGATGTACTGCGCAGGTGCGAGTGACTGGTCTGATCTAGGTGTACCCATTTGTTTTAGGGGTAGATAGTTACAATGAAAAGAAGTTTTGGGTGGAGAGGGGAGGTCACCGGGCGGTCACATTCTGTGGGACGTGCAGGAGTGCAGAGACCCAATGTCTGCCTCTATCTTCCTACCTAGCCTTCCCCTTGAGAGACGCGATCCCCATGAAATCTCTATGGGAAGCTGAGGGACAGGAGGTCTCTTCTTCTGTATCTGCTTCCTGCTGGGCAGGGGTGTAGAGCTGTCCCTGCCTATTGGGGGATTCACGGAACTCTCACCCTAGCTGATCTCAGATGAGAGGAAGAGGTCTCGAGCTCCACCTGGAAGACTGTGTTGGCTTCTTTGGTTGTGACCAGCAATCTTGTTGGGGTATCCTCTGTATCCCCAAGTCCCTGAATGAGGAAAAATAGATTTTAATTAATAAACCTGTTAGCTCTCATGAAGCCTGTGGCCATTCAGCCTGTTACTCAGGTGGCGTCAGTTGTCTGGGCCCAGAATGGGTTTGGCATTCAGTTTACTGGCCTGGGAGACATTAGGAAGTCACAGGCTTCCAAATAGTTATCTGAAGCAGGGACTTCTATTGTTTAGGATTCAGAAATTGATTTACAAAGCAATCAAGAAGCAGGGGGATAGAAGAATTTTAGGCTTCAGGCTAGGAGCAATCTTTAGTCTAGGACTTACAAACTGGTTAGAAAAGTAATCAAAGCCAAGAGCTAAGGAACTAAGAAACTAGCGAGGAGACTTAACATTTCCATACTTAATATTCCTATAGGAAAGAAAACTGAAAATTCTCTGGAGGGGAGGGGGGCCTCTCTTGACCAGTAACTGGCTGGCACCTGGGCAGGAAGTCCACCTTGCTGGGAGGGGCAAACTCGGACTTTTTGGATCCCTTCACTTGTTATGGGGGCTGGGAGGGCTGGAAGGTTTAACTAGAACTACTGTGTCTTTGGTGTCTCCATGTTCTGCCACCTGATGAACAGGTGAGTCTAGCTGACCTCCTGAAGCCAGTCGCCTCCCTCATCACACAAATGTCCTGCACTCTCCAGACCCAGGTGTGGGAGGCCCCGCTGCTCTGACCCCTGGGACCCCAGCGGTCCTCCATTCTGGCCACACATTCGAGTCACCTGGGCAGTTCAGGAACCACCAGCTTCTGCTGCTCCCACCTGAGCCAGTTAACTCAGGACCTCGGGGGCCTGTGACTGGCTGTGTGGCAAGGGCAGAACGCCCAGCTTTACTTCGTGTGCGCTGGGAGGGGGCGCTCGGGGGTCCCTTTCATGGACGGTCTGTGCTCATCTCCTTCCTCCCTCCTCAAGGCCCAGGCGTTGGCCCTCTCTTCCCCTTCACACTTCGCCTGCAGGGGCTCTTTCCGCTTACTTACCCGCGGGGAGCATGTGGCATTTTGACTGGGTCATTTCCTGGTCAACTCCTGTATTTCAGGGTTCAGCTATGACGTCCAGGTCAGTGTGCACCTGCTCACAGGCTGTTTATCAGCTGGGGTTTGGCCCTGCAGGGTAGGGCCTGTGTCTCTGATGTGGGTTCCTGGTCCTGTCTCTGTCATCCGGGCCAGGCTGGTCATGGGCTGGGCTGGAACCTCGCCTCCCCACCAAGGTGTCACTCCAGTCCCTCCTTTTCTGGCTTTTGGGTCACAGGGGCTCTCTCTAGAGTCCCTGTCTGGCTCCTGGCAGTCTTGCCTCTGAGTGCTGTTCCCCCTTCTCCCTCCACCTCCCGGCCCATCTTGGGCCCTGCTCCAGGGGGCACCCTCCCTAGTTCCCATCTCTGATGCCTGCCTGGAGACAGTGCTCAGTGCCCAGATGGCTCTCAGCTTCCCCTTCCCTGAGCCCATTCCTCGGAGACAAGCTCAGTCAGTTGGTTTCCCCTTTTGGAGATTCTGAGGAGCGTCAGGCTTGTGCCACAAAACCAGACACCTGGATGGACTCCAGTCCCAGCCCAGCACCTGCCCCTATCTGGGTCCACTGCTGGCTGGGGTGGAACTCACTCAGTCTTGGTGAGCGGATGATGGTGACTGGGAGCTCAGACTGGCCCAGAGGTGGCAGGGGGCTCTTAGGGGCTGTCTAGCCCCCTGTTTCTGGGCCTCCACCCTGAGTCACCTGGGGGCTGGTCCACGAGCACTTTGTCCTGATGGGTAAGGGGCGGGGAAGGTGCTGGATGCAGGCTCCAAGCTTCAGTGGCAGCAGGGTTCTCTGGGGATCCTTTTAGCTGTGATGTCTCCCCACCCTCCTTGCTGTCTTCTCCTTGGCTCCTGTGACACTGAGCAACAACCTGCCCCTCTCTGAGCCTCAGTTTCCCCATCTGAAGTCATAGGGTAGACTGGGTAGGGGACCCTTGGGCTCTCCCCTTCCAGGGTGGGGTCAGACTTTCCTGACTTCCTGTGCCTGGGTCCCCCGGGATCGCCTTTTCTGCTTCATTACCTCCCATGATGCCTTCTCCACAGGGTTGGGGGCAGCTTTGTGTCACTACCTTCAAGCTTGAAGACCTACTAGAGCCAGGACCTATCCAGGGTCTTTTGGCCTGTACTTCACCAAAGCAGCACTGTCCCATGTCCCTGCCCATGGGACCGCCCGGCCCCGCCCCGCCCCCCCAGCCTCTGCGCCCTATAGGGCCCCCTTTCTTCCTCTCCTCCCCCTCCTTGTAGGGTCCCAGCCCATGCCTTCCTCCCACAACTTTGGCTCTTGTCCTCTAACAGCCACCCCAGAGCCCTCCTGCCACCTCCTGGAGACCCCAGGCCCTCCTTTCAGAGCTCCTAGAACCCTCCAGGTGAGTCTGAGTGGGGCTTGTAGTCTCCAGTTGAGGGGATGGTGGTGAGGGGCAGGGAGGGGTGAACTTGAAGAGCGCAATGATAATGCCAACATGGGCCAGTGAAGCAATGTCCTCCACAACTAGACTGAAGAACAAAAGGACAGCAAATTGTCTGTTCCCCTCCCCCAATTCCCCAATAAAATCTTTGAAAACAAAAAGATGATAGGACTCATCTGAGGAATTCAGTGAAAGAGCTAAGGAAAGTGAATCATATTTGCCAAGGTCTTCAATTCCTACAAAGAAGTTTGAAAAAAAGGAAAACAGTGTTAAAATTAATGTTGATGGCTTATTTATAAGACGTAAAGGCTTATGAGTCCTTTAGAGCAAAACAAAATGATAGGAAACCCTGAAGCTAACTTTTTTTTTTTAAAGATTTTTATTGGGTAATTGGGGGGATGGGAACAGTGATGGGGAATTGGGGGAAGGGGAACAGACAAGTTGCTGTCGTCTTGTTCTTCAATGTAGTTGTGGAGGACGCTGCTTCACTGGCCCAAGTTGGCACCATCATTGCGCTCTTCCCTGGCGAGGCAGATCAGTCGCCGGCTTCTGGACGGCCGCTCACTGCAGCTGCTGGCTGCTCACGCTGGCTGCTGGCTACATATGGGAGCCCATGGCAACCCACTGCCACAGGGACTGCAGCCTACGCCGTCGCCAGCGACTCACAGCAGCCCAGCTCCAGGTTGAACTGTTGTTCAGCATCTTAGCTGTAGAGGGCAGTGTCACTGGCCCTCATATGTGGGATCCGAACCGGGGTCCTCTGGCATCCCAAGCGAGTTCTTAACCATCGCGCCACTCGGCCGGCCCGAAGCTAACTTTTTGTATGTGATCACGTGACGAACTAATCTTTGAGTCAACAGTCTGTCCCTGACAAAAGAGGAAAGATGTTTATGTTCTTGAGTTGTCTTAGCTTTTTCAAAAGTAAGACTTGCACATTTGTATAGCTATTTGCTGGGTTAATCTCTGTCTAGAATAAAAAGAACCATTTCTTGGCGTCAGGCTCTGAGGAGTTGTGCTTGCACCTGTCGCCTCACCACTCCGACCTCGCCTGTCCCAAATTCAAGGCAAAAACAGAGATCTGGACAGTTTCTCTGCAACAGGTCTCCCTGGGTTTCCCGGTGGCCACTGGGCTGCATCAAGGCTGCATCCTCTCCTTGTAGGAAGCAAAGACTGCACGTGAGTTACTCGATTTGTTTGGCACTCCCTGGATTTCACTTTAATGTAGGTCAGCACTATGGGAATGCCCCGTTCGTCTTGCTGCATCAGGAGAGCCTGGCCAGTCATGTGTTCAACAGCCCTTGCTCCTGTATATTCAAATAAGATACTGATACAAACGTTTCAGCAAACGTGTGCATCTTGGTGGATGCCTACTTGTGTTGCTGTTGAAAGACTAGCCCCAAATGAATGCTTAAAAAGTAGTGTCTAGGTCCAAAATATACCTGTCAATGGTAACTGTCAAACGTGTTTTATGGGGTACACTAAAACGTCCTGGAAGTTCTTCCAAGGTCCATTCCCAAGAGATCAGTGAATAAATACTTAAATTGATTACAGTCTCGAGATGGCGCTGCCCTCTTCCATTCTGACATTACTGGTTGTGATAGGAACTAATGACTGGGAAATTGTCATCCACAGGTGGCTTCTGCTTCTTCGCCTCATTTACTGAAAGGCCTGTGCTCCGAACTACAGCTCAGAGATGGAATCTTCCAGAAGGAAACACCTGAGGAGCCTCCAATGACTTCAGCCATCCCCTGAAACTGTCGGGGTGGATTCTGGACACAGGCTTCTCAGGAATACCTGCCACAATCCCCACAGACAGTGGACTGAGGCAGGCCCCCCTGGATTTCAGTCCGGAGACAGTCAAACTGCTCAGCTCGAAGACAAGTAGCCAAGACTAATGGACTGAACAAACAATTCATTTGTTTATTGTATTAGACTTGTCACGAGCTTGCGATTAGCCTTTTTCTTAGCCTTTAATGCTTGGCTTAACTGGTCATACTTGTAGAAACTTGAATAAAACATCTCAGAAATGGCTTTATGTTCCAGGTGACTGCATCTGTCCGTCGTTCACGGCTCTGAGGTCCCCTGTCCCTATGGAGGGAGAGGAACGGGGATGCGCTCCAGGGCCAGGCCTGCCTTTGGCTGGGAACTGAGACCTTGCAGGTGTCAATAACAGGCTTCCCTGTGATTTGTGGGGACGTTTTACACTTTGGGAGGGTGGAAACCATCATAATATACCAGGGGGTGCCAAAAAAATGCCTACAAATGACTTGTATTCATCTTTTGTTATTGGTATACATTGAGGATTACAATTTTCACAGTTTTTTCCTTTCTCAAAATGTGTACAGGTCTGGCCGAGTGGCGCGTTGGTTAAGAACTCGCTTGGGATGCCAGAGGGCCCCGGTTCAGATCCCACATAGGAGGGCCAGGGACACTGCCCTCTACAGCTAAGATGCTGAACAACAGCTCGACCTGGAGCTGGGCTGCTGTGGGTCGCCGGTGATGGCGTGGGCTGCAGTCCCTACTGCAGTGGGCTGCCAGAAGCTACCATGTGTAGCCGGCAGCCAGCGTGAGCGGCCAGCAGCAGCCGTGAGCGGCCGTCCAGAGGCCGGAGACTGATCTGCCTCGCCCGGGAAGAGCGCAATGATGGTGCCAACTTGGGCCAGTGAAGCAACATCCTCCACAACTAGACTGAAGAACAAAACAACAGCAACTTGTCTGTTCCCCTTCCCCCTATTCCCCCAAAAAATCTTTTAAAAAATGTGTACACATTTTTATGGCACCGTCTGTATATATATGAACATATGAATGAAACCTGCCACACCACTTCATAACCATTACTAGCATTTTCTCTTAAAGGCATTTAGGTATTCAAGTTAAAACCCCACTTGTTGCGTTGTATCATGTAGTATATTCAGCAGCATTTTCATATGCCTGATGTTCAGCTGCAACCATCAGAATTGTTGGCGAGCAGGTGAGCTGCAATTCATAACTTCACGCTGATGAAATAGTCACAGCTAAACCCCAAACCAAAGTCAGTAACTTTCAATATTTTAGCAGTGTTTCTTAAGAGAATTTTTGTCATCAAATAGTTCGTTGACTTATGTTTTCGTTATGTTTCAACACCTGGGATGCTACTCCAATGCAGAAGCATTTTGTTAGTGAAATGGATTTCATAAGGAAAACAAAAGGCAACCAACCCTTTCAAAAGGACATTTGCAGAAACTGCCCAAACTGAGCTTGTCCCTTCTGTGACTATGCTTCAAGGGGAATAACGGAAAAGTAGTGATATTGCAAGAACACAGGTGGCCTCGAAGGAAACACCAGTGTGTGGGCGCAGAGCACCCGGGTGCGCAGGGACAGGGCGGGGCCGGCCGACCCGCCACCTCCAGCCTTGCATCACCTCCAGGAGGGTGCGACACGCGCACAGGCAAGGTGTCATCGAATGGCACCCAGGCATCCTGCCCAGCCGCGCTTGCAGGCACCCACTGGAGCTCTCTCCGCCCCTCCAGTCGGAGCCGTGCCAAGAACACGGGTCATGTGGAAGGGCAGCGGGGGTGGGGACACGTGGGGACGTGGCGGGGGCGCCTCCCTTCCTGCAACGGAGAAGGAAAGGCGCGCGCTGCTACAGCTATTGGTTGGGAGGAAGGGAAGGGGCCCAGTGGGGGGACCTGGGAACGTCCGAGGCTCCATAGAGCGGGGTCCTCGGTTGAAGACCCCGCCCTCGTCCTTATGCGGACCCAGCTCCACTCTGACTGCGCCCTCCCGGGCCTGGGTCCCAGGAGCTCCAAATGCAGAGGTGCATCCGCCCGGGGGTCCCCACGCCCGGACTTCGTCCAGGCTCTAGGGCACTGTGGGCGGGAGGAGGTGTTGGGGGAAGATGGTCCCGGCGGCAGGGCGGAAAAAGGAGCTGGTGGCTGGGCCCGGTGGAGCGAATGGCCTAGAGGGTCAGCCAAGGGGGTGGCGGGGGTCCCAGGGCGATGCCTCCCGTCCACCCCAGGGCAGGGGAGGACCTCAGAGGGGTTGGAGCCTGCGGTGGCCTCTCCTGGTCCCCTCCCCCTCTAGCCTGGCCGTCCCAGAACGCGTCAGGATGTGCAAAGGGCTCCTGTGGGCAGCCTGGCCTCTGACTTAGGAACAGCCTGCTCTGTAGGAGGCGTGTAATTATTGCTGATTAACTGATGGGTTGAATAAAGGAAGTGACTTTAGGAAGCAGTTCAGGCTCTTCCCCCTGGGTCCTGGATTGCAACTAAAAGACTGGCTGCCCTGCCCCCACCACCCTGCTCTGTCTTCTGCTGCAGCTTCACTGAGGCTACCAGAACTTTCCAAGGGCTGACAGGTACGCACAGCTCTGAGGAGTCAGTTTCTAGTTTCTGGGCTCCCACATGAACTCTTTCCAAAAAGCCACCTCCCAAAGAAAGCCCCTGGGGACAGGGGTCCTGCTGGTCCTCCTATCCTTTCACCATGTACCTCCTCCACTTTCAAAAGGGGCCCACCGGGCACCATCGCAAAGGCCCACTGCTCCTTGGAGAAGATGGGAGAACAACCAAGGGCCACAAACAAGATAATTTGCAGTTTGGTTTAGAGTCGACAAACTTCCTGAAAAAAGTCACCACAACCCAAGTAGCTTCTGTGTGTTCTCTCTTACACATATTTCATTCAAAGCAAACTTAGTAGAAACTGGATATTTTGACCCTCGCTGAGATGTTCTGAATAGATGCATAGTGTAAAGTGGCGGGATAACATTTCCACCTGACTTTGTCAAGAAATGCTGGATTCCAGGGCAGTGACCCTGGTGGGAAAGGCAGAGAGCATCAGAAAGAACGAAAGGTCCAGAGCCCAGCCCTTTCCCCCAGCCTGGCCCCTCCAGGAGAGCTCACCTGTTCCCCAGGTCTTCTCTTAGAAGCAGAACTCAAGTGAGCCAGCTGTAACGGGGCACTTGGGGGCAGTGTCCAGGTCTGATGCTGAGTTTAATGTCCACAGGGCAGGCTGGCAGGAAGGGAAATTGCTGAGCAGCCTGCAGCCCCCTGAGCTGGAGCCGGCTCCCCACGAAGACAGACTGAAATCCAGGTGGGTTCTCCTTGCCTCTGACCTTGGTGAGAGGCTAAAGCCAGTCTTTTTATTAGTGTCACATTGTTTCCCATATCTCTAATCCATTTTTTTTGTTTTAAACATATGTATCTTGTCTCTTATCTGGCCATCCTACTGCCTGAAGATGAGACTGTTTGTGCTGGCTTGCCTGTGGTGCCCTGTCCCCCTCATGTCCTCTGTGACTTTGAACCATGAGTTTTACCTGAGAGGAAGACAGGAGAGCTGCCCGAAGGTGCGCCCTCTAGAGGAGTTGGCCTTACTGCTGGGACCCTTAAGGGCCGACCATCTGGGCTCACTTAGAGTTAATTTCTCAGCTTGTTTCCAGGACCTAAAAGGGATATTTGATTTACACCCACCTCCCCACTCCACCCCCACTGAGGACCAGGCCCTTGTTACAAATCTTAGGGAAAGATTTTTTTTTTTTTTTGTCCTAGTAAGAGCCCTGGAGAGGACAATGTCTTTCTTTTCTCCTTTTGCTGATGGTTGGAAAATTTTCGGATCCACTAACTCCCAGCGATCAGGGCCTTTCTAGGATTGTGTGGGAGCTTTAGAGAGCCGCAGAGCCTGGTCTCCTGTCTCCATCACACCCAGCGCTCTTGGTACCCAGGTTACAAATTGCTCAGAGGGGCTGCTGCCTGTGTCAGCTACCACTTTGGTTTTCAGCAACTTTTTTGTTTGGGTCATTTCCTTTTTCCACCATTGCAGCTATGCGATAAAGGATTTTGTCATCGTTCATTCAGAATTTGTACTCTCAGAAGATTGTCCAGTTATCTCACCTACTTTATTGCTGGGAAGGGGGTAGTCGCTTTAGCTTTGCAATGGCTGCGTCCACATGTGTCCTCACTGTTGTACTGGTGGCAGAGACACCTGCCTGCTTGCAGCATGTCCAGTGCTCATCAGAGGGCTCTTTGTCTGCTCCTCCCATGAGGTTCATACAGTTGTTCTCTGCAGATGCCAGCAGCAGCTGCTTCTTTTCCAGGAATGCTACCCCCTTCTCTGTGCCTAGAGGTGCTGAGATCCAGTTCCTCCCAGTTGGGAAGAGACTGGTGGTCAGAGAGATCCCCACTAGGACTGAAGGCTCAGAGACTGGTAAAGGCTCTCTGGCCACACAAGGCTTAGATAATGAGACCAGGCTACGGGATTGGGGATAGGGAGCACCTGGGGCGTGGTGTGAAGTTTGCTCTCTGCAGCTCCTTGCCGTAAGGGGCCGCTCCCACTGGACAGCCTCCCACTGGGCAGCTGAGCCCAAATGTGGATTTAGGACTAGGGAGGTCTCTAGTACAGCCCACTAAAGCCATCTGCTCCAACCCCGACACCATCTCTGACAAGGTAATATTTTATATACATGTTCTCGAGTCCCCTTTGTCATATTTCTGGTGTTTCCGTCTTGGGAGAGAATAGTGAGGGTGTCAGTTACTGGGCTCCTTCATACCCCACACTATTCTGTCCCATGTGCTCAGCCTTTGGAAGCAAACAGCCTCAACAAGCAATGAGAAAATTTATTTCAGTAGGCTACTGAAAAAAAATCACATACCAGGATAAACTAAGATTTAACTCGGAAAGGCAAGCATTTATTCAACCATTCAACAAGTGCCATCAGTTTTGCTGTGATGTATCCTACGCGTTCCTAAAATTCAGGGAGCCGTGCACAATAAGAACCTTGGGGCTTAGGGGGGAAATGTTCGGGGGGAATGGACTTGGGCAGGACACTCAAAATATTCCAGTGACACATGAAAAATAGATAGGAACCTAATAAAAGGGGTAGCACAGTTACGTATGTTAAATTGTTTTTTCAAAATGTATAGAAGAGAAAAAATTCTAATTCAGGTATGTGCAATATCAAAACTCAAATTATTTCCACCTAGGACATAATGGAGAACACGGTGTGCTCAGGGTTAAGAAGTCTGGGTACTATTGTGTGCATCATTCCTGATAACTCTAATTTTGTAAAATTATTTAATCGCTCTTATACTGTTCATTAAAACGAATTTAATATTATCTGTTCTTGAGTTGATGTGAGAATTAAATGAGGTAATAAATGTAAAAGTGTTGTAAAAGCAAACAAAAATAAAAATGCATAAAGACGACAAAACGTGGCACTTTACCTGAAAAGGCTTGACATTTACTTGTGGAAGTAAACATCAGAAGGACTGCAGCTTGTGAGATGTTGTGAGGTGGTTGGAAAGTTGTAACACCTGGTGCAGGTGTTGGGTTCATAGCACAGCGGTGAATAGGTAGCTGGGAGATGTTTCAGGGGTGTGCATGTGTGTTGTGAGCTCCTACACACCTTGGTTCAGCTGGTGGAGTTTTCTGTGTTCACCTAATGTTTCTCACGAAGTCATACAAAATGCAAAATCCACGTTATGTTTGACTTGTTCCCTAAACAGTAGTGTGGAGTCCCTACTAGGTGGGAGGCACTGTTCTAGACTGTAGACTCAGCAGTGAGCAATATACTGTTTCTGCCCTCAGGGGCGTTACATTGTAATGAGGGGAACAGTAAGTAAATAAATAAGTTCATATAATTTATGTTCCCCTCCCCCAAATTCATATGCTGAAACCCAAGCCCCAAAGTGATGGCATTAGGAGGTGAGGCCTTTGAGAAGTGACAGGTCATGAGGGTGGAGCCTTCATGAATGGGATTAGTGTCCCGATGAAGGAGACCTCTCTCCCCTCTTCCACCTTGTGAGGACATAGCCAAATGACTTCTGTCTGTGAACCAGGTATCCGGCTCTCAGCAGATAATGAATCTGTCAGCACCTTCACTTTGGTGCTGACAGAACACTGACAGCCTCCAGAACAGTGAGAGATAAATGTGTTTTGTTTATGCCACCCAGTCTAGGCATTCTGTTATAGCGGCTCAAGCTGACTAAGACAGCAGGACGGAAGGGATGAGTTTGTGGTCACTAGAATTGTATACCCCCAAAATACATATGTTGAATTCCTAGCCCTTTTTTAGGTTGATGTGTTAGTTTCCTGGGGTTGCTGTTGCCAAAGTCCCACAGACCGGGTGGCTTAAACAGAAATGGAGTGGACAGTCTGGAGGCCAGAAGCCCAGGATCGATGTGTTGGCAGGGCTGGTTGCTTCTGAGGCTGTGAGGGGAATCTGTTCCATGTGTCTCCCTCAGCTTCTGATGGCTTGCCAACAATCTTTGGCATTCCTGGGCTAGTAGAAACACCTTCCCAATCCCTGCCTTTATCTTCACATGGTGTTCTTCTGGTGTGCCTGTTTATGTCAAATTACCCCTTTTATAAGGGCACTTGTCATATGGGATTAGGGACCCACCCTACTCCAGTATGAATTCATCTTGACCTTATCTGCAATGACCCTATTTCCAAATAAGGTCACATGCTGAGGTCCTGAGGGCTATGGCTTCAACATGTGAATTTTGGGGGGATAGAATTCCACCTATAGTTAGTAAGGGAAGACACCTTTAAAGTAAGTGACATTTGAACAAGAGACCTGAACGAAATGAGGTATTGAGGCATGCAGATATCAGAAGGAACAGCATTCCAGGAGGAGGGAACAGCAAATGTGAAGGTTCTGAGATGGAACACAGACTGACATGCTAAAGGAACAGTAAGAAGATCATTGTGTGTAGAATGTAGCAAGGAGAAGAGTGATAAGAGAAGAGGTGAGAAACAGAATGATTCATCAATAGGAAAGCCATCAACTATGAATCACAAAATTAACAAAATTAAAGGAGGAAAACCTTATGAGTTTATCAGAAAACAAAAAACCCAGCAGACATATCCCAATAAAAACTCTAAGGTATAAATAGACTAAAACTTCCTCTTATGATAAAGAATGTTGGTTAGAGAACAAAAGTATACATCATATTAGTGGTGCAAAGCAAGGGCATTTCGGCTAGTCAGAAAGGAAGAGAGATGCAGCTATTACTTCTATGGTTCAACATTGTTATTTCTGGAGACTCTAGCTAAAGCAATAAGATAAGAAAAGGAAATAAGCAATATATTCATCACTGTTTGCAGGTAAGATGCTGGTACACCACTCTCCCCAGATGAGATATTTCAAACTATTAGAACTGAGTCAGCCATCTTTCATGCTCTCACCTCATAAACTCTGGCCCACCTCTTTGCTCTAGTCAGGGCTCCAGCAACCAGCTGGCTGTTCAGCTAGAGCCTGGCCGCCCCTTGCCTCAGCTGCACTGCACACCCCTTGCTTTCTACTCTGGGCTCTCTGCTGCTGCTGCTGCTGCTGCTGCTGCTTGAGATGCATCTGGAGCTCACTGAACCTCGCTGGCACACGTGCACCCCTGGAGCAGTGAAGAGTTGGTGCTGGTGGGCACATATGCCCCTTGCTTCTGTGCATGAGTGGACCATTCTGAGGTGTGCTCTCACAGCAGTGATAACTCCAGATTGCACTCTGGCATGGGGTTGCCCCCCCTTCCCTTTTTTTCTCTTCCAGGGCCCCCATTCCTGATTTTTGACATCACTTCCAAAAATAAACTATTTGCTCACAAGGCCAAGTCCCATGTCATAGATTCTGCTTTTGGACGGAACCTGAATCAAGAGAGTTAGTACCAGAAGTGGCCCTAGAAAGAGAACTTCAGTGTAGGATCCCAGAATCACACACCCTTTGCACCCCACTGTCGGGACCTTATTGCTGGTGGTGAGTGAGCTGATGATGAGCTTGCGACAGTTATGATTCACCAGGCATGATTAGGACATGGTACAGGTGGAAGGTGAAACATGGTTTACATGGTGGGGTGTGTGTGTGCTTTAATCGCATTGAGGCAATGGTAATGAGGACTGTGGGGTTGACTGACTTGTTAATGGCTTTAAAAACCTCAAAAATTAATAATGAAGACTCAAATTAGCCAACTATCAATTTAAGATACTCTGTGAAAGTCCAACAGCTTCATGACAACAGGCAAATCCTTTACCTCTTACAGGCACAGGGCATTTATGAGAATCGGGCCCAGGATTAGTCATATCTCTGAATAATAAATTTCTCTCTTCAGTTATCTTTAATCTACTATTTAACCTAACAATGGATGTTTTGTGTTAATTAAAATAGTAAATTATTATGTTTTCCATTTCTAGAAGATTTTTTTTCTTTTGGGGGCATTTCTTTCAAATTCTTGACCATATTTTATAGTCTCTTGTTCCTTGCTAATATTTCTAAGCTTCTTTTTTATTTTTTTAAACATGTAAAACAGAACTACTTTATATGTCTGATAACATCAATATATGCAGTTTTCTGAGTGTACTTTTGTTGGCATTTCTAATGGCTGTCACTCAGAGTGATGTTTTTCCTTCTGTGTTTTGTGACTTTTTTGACAGTGAATTGCCTATGTTCCCTTAAAAGTTATCTGTGGGAAGTTGTAGAAACTTGGATTGATTTTGCATTTCTCCAGAGGATATTTACAGTTACCGTTTGTTTTTTTTTTAAAAGATTTTTATTGGGGAATTGGGGGATGGGAACAGTGCTGGGGAACTGGGGGAAGGGGAACAGAGTTTTTTTTTTGTTCTTCAGTCTAGTTGTGGAGGACGTTGCTTCACTGGCCCAAGTTGGCACCATCATTGCGCTCTTCCCAGGCAAGGCAGATCAGTCGCCGGCTTCTGGACGGCCGCTCACGGCAGCTGCTGCCCGCTCATGCTGGCTGCTGGCTACACACGGTAGCCCATGGCAACCCACTGACACAGGGGCTGCAGCCTATGCCATATCGGGCGACTCACGGTAGCCCAGCTCCAGGTTGAGCTGTTGTTCAGCATCTTAGCTGTGGAGGGCAGCGTCACTGGCCCTCATATGTGGGATCCAAACCAGGGCCCTCTGGGGTCCCAAGCCAGCTCTTAACCATCGCGCCACTTGGCTGGCCCCAGTTACCGGTTTTTAAAAGTTGATTTTTACTTTTGTTACTTTGCTGTCAGAGAGTAAGTTTTGTAAGGTTTCTCTATTTAGAAATCAAGTTGTCTGTTGTGTTCAATATATAATTAATATTATATATTTAGGATGGTCTATACACTGATTATGGAAAAGCACGTTCTGTGATTGACCCAAAACACCAACGTGGGCGATGCATCCTATTGACACTTAACCTTGGGCCTGTTGACACTTAACACTTGGGCTGCTGCAGGGCTGCACCAGAATGAGGGAGGGTCAGTGGTACCCCCAACACGGGAAAGGGAAAGTGTGGGCATCTCCACTTGCACCCCAGCCTGCAGGTCCCCTGAAGTCCTATGGAGATTCCTGCAGTGGACAATCCCAGGACTTTCTGCCCATCCCCCACCGCCCCTCCCACCTCCCCGCAGCCTTTCTCCTCTGAAATCAGGGGAACAGCAAGAAGTTTGTGTAGCCGGAGAGAGGCTGGTGGCAGGGGAGTCAGACTTGGAGGACCTGCTTTATAGGTAGGGTCACCCCAAAGAGAGTGTACCCATTCACCCAGCAGCAGGCATAAACCAGGAGAGCCCTGAAGGTTTATGCCTGCTGCTGGGTGAATGGGTACGCTCTCTCATCGTCAAAAGTGAGCGGGTTTGGATGGTGAGTTATGTGGTTACTCTACTCTTAGGTCAGGAGGGCACAATGGAAAATCAGGGAGGGTTTATGTGGGTGACTGAAATGTGATTTACATTTTATAAAGTTCCTCTGGGGTCTGCTCAGTGACAAGGGGGGTCTGGAGGGGGCCAGAGTGAAGGCACTGGTGCAAGGGACCCCTGGCACAGACGGGGGCCTGAGAGTCACTTGAGACCCTCAGTGTGAAATTCCTCCTTTCTGGGGCCCTCCCTGCTCGGAGAGGGGCCCCAGCTGCGCAGCCCAGTCAGGCCTGACCTTGAGCGAGGCCAGCCTGGCTTCCAGCCACGAGGCTGGATCAGAAAGGGTGGAGAAATCGTGCATTTCCCGGTTGACGTGGAAGGGATCAGGTTACCTTCTGGTCCGCAGACAGAAGGGGCTGTTCTTGGGAGGGCGCGTAGGAAGCAGGGACTGATGGAGGGGCCCCGGCTGCTTGTCCAGGGGGGTATGCAAGAAAGGCCGAGCCGGGTCTTGCAGCTCGGGGACCGACCGTGAGCAAGTTCTCAGGAGAGGGGAGGCCGGGGACGTGGAGCTGGGAGGGCAGGCCGAGCCAGAGCCTCCCGGCCAGCGGCGGCCAGGCACAAGGGAAGCGCGCGGGGCTGAGGGGCGCGCGGGGCCGAGACTCCCGGAACCCCGTCTCGGCGGTGGGACGGGCGACCTGCGAGCTTCGAGGACACCGACCCTGCCCGCCGCCGGAGGCTGCGCGTCTGCCCCGCGGCGCCCCTCCTCCACCGCGTCCCCTCCCCTCCCCGGGCTCCCTCCCCCCACGGAGCCCGGTCCCCGCCTCTGGGCGCCATTCCTCGCCGTCCGCCCTGCGCCCCGCCAGCGTCTCGCCATGGCCGGCCCCGGGCCGCGACCCGCCAAGGGCTACCGGGTGGTGCTGCTCGGCAGCGTGGCGGTGGGCAAGACGGCGCTGGCCACGCAGTTCGCCTGCGGCAGCTTCCCCGAGGAGTGCGAGCCGTCGGTGGAGGAGCTGTTCAGCAAGGTGATCGAGGTAAACGCAGCGCCCGCGCTGCTGGAGATCGTGGACACGGTGGGCGCCGAGCACCTGGTCACCCTCAAGGACCTGTACATCAAGAACAGCGACGGCTTCGTGGTGCTGTACAGCGTGTGCAGCGAGGCCTCGTTCGAGGCCGTGCGGCCGCTGCGGGAGCGCATGGGCCGCCTGCGGGGCCCCAAGGCCGTGCCGCTGGTGCTGGTGGGCACCAAGGCCGACCTGGACGCCGAGCGCCAGGTGCTGACGGCGCGGGGCCGCGCGCTGGCCCGCGAGTGGCGGTGCCCCTTCCTGGAGGTCACGGCCAAGAGCAAACTCATGGTGGACCAGGTGTTCACGCAGGTGGTGCGCGAGATGGAGGCCCTGGCCCCTCCCGAGGAAGAGGTCCGGGCTGTGCCCACGAACGCCCAGGATACGTGGCCGGCGGAAAGGTTCATTGGCTAATATGCAACGGTTCGTTTTTATATGTTCATCGCTCTTCGTGATTTCCGAAGCTCAGTGTTCCCTACTCTGCCTTTTAAACGAAAGCTAGTTACCCAGCCGGAAAGAAGCGGTTACGTCGACACATGAACTCAAGCCAGTGCTTCCCACTGCCTGCACAGCTTCTGAAATCTTTGGTGAAAACTTTGCAACTCTGTTTTCCTCGGACAGTGCTATAAGAAGAAACCAAAAAAATCTAACATTTTCCCCTCGTGTGGAGAGAATACTACCCTTTTGCTTCCAGTGGAATTGGTTACAGGTTTCTAAAAAACAACGAACACCTTCAAATGTTATCAGACATTTGAAATCGATGTAGGGGGATGAAGTAAAGAGTTTAAGCTTTCTAGTCAGTGAGGTTTTCATGTGTTTCTGTCTCATTCACAGCCTGGAATCGGGGCAGTAATATTTTCCTCTCTGCGTATTTCTAAATATAGTTATGACATATATAGCATCGCTTTGAAAGGGGTATTGTATACCCGGGAGGGCAAAGCAACTGTGTCCTCACACGGAGAGAGCTCGGCTCTGCCTTCAGTTTTCTAACTGACATCCAGTGGATTTCTGCCTCTGTAAATCGAGTAAAAATAAAACTGACTTTAGAAGTTTCTAGTTTTTGATGTTTGTCTTTCAAATACGTAAAAGCTACAATTCTTAATGTTTCCATACACTGTCGCTTTGCTTTTCAGTGATTTTCCAGGAAACGAGTTAGTAACTAGAGGGAAAATGGCACCCCATCATCTCCTGTGTTTTTGCAAAAGTGCTTTCAGGAGTCAGTGGTTTTTCTTGTTTGGTGGAGTAGGACATTTTGTATCTGAATACCTGCATAGTTTAGGCCTCACTTGACTGAAATGTACGAATCTTTTTGTATCGTTTTCACATTAAAGACACAAGAGACTTTTCTTGCGCTGGTTTGAAAATATTGTTTCGTAATTTAAAAAATGTGTCTTGATATGAGTTGCTTGTGCTTATTTGCACAAGTTCATTTTATCTCACCCATTGCAATAAGTTTTTCAAATTTAAAAATGTAAGCATTTCAACATCCTTCTTAAAGAAATAAACAAGAAAACTCAAAACTGTGCCTGTGACCTGAAATAGTTCATTTTGTTAAAGGAAAGCTATCTATAAAGTAAATGATGGTTATACAAGGCTCTGGGCATTTTATTTATATTGTATGTGATGTTTGCATAGACGATGGATTTTATTTTAACGTTAAGAATATATATTTTTTAGAAACCAACAGTGCCTGACAGTTCTCCACAGGAGAGGGCTAGACTGGGACATTGCCTGTCTTTCCTCTCTCCCCAGGACTTTTTTTGGGGGGTGGGGTGGGGGGGGATGACCAGGAAGCCTTGAATGAAGCCCAGCTCATTTGTTCCCCTCTCTGGCCTTCTGTCTTCTGGGGTCACTCCTGTCAGTGTTTCCTCACACCATCATTTCTGGAACCATCATTTCTCTAGGGGACATTTCAAACATGGGGAGGAGGGGAGGGGGCCATGGCTAGGGGACAGGAAGCACCTTTGTGGACTCAGCTGTTTCATCCGTCCAAAGGTGCCCCTTCCTCCTGCTGGAGCAGAGGCAAAAACCCAGGACTGCACCTTGGGGTGTTGGGGTGCACAGAGAAAGCACACAGGGAATGCATAGCACCGTGCCCAGCACTGAGAGCTGGGCCCCAAGGACTGCAAGCTGGGTGACCCCTCCCCAGCCCCTGCTGCCACCCCACCCCACCTACCTGTCCTGCCTTTCTGACTCTCCACCTGCCTGTGCTGAAGCCTCCGGGGAGGTCCTGTGTCCCTGGATCCCAGTCCCTCTGGATATCAGGTTCAACCCAGGAAAACAGTCATACGTAGCCATTTCTTCTTTAGATTCCTAGGACCACCTCAGACACTCCCACTCAGATCCAGACTTCAGCGTGGAGCCCAGGGGTGCTCCTGGCTGACTGGCCAACAGGACAAATGATCAGGCTCATATGATCTGCCCCTGTGACCTCAGGAATATGTGTGCAGCAGCTTTCTGAGTGTGTCTGCACATGCACACACACACACACACACACACACACACACTTACAAATGCACATAAAATTAAAAACCCACACATTGGATTTTCTTTCTCTTCCTGCATTTCGAATTTCTAACTTATGTATGTTACAAATTGCCTGCAGTCCCTCTGGAGTCAAATGAAGCCTAAATAATTCTAAAGGAACTTGTGCAAGCAGCAAATATGACCGCTTGTCTGGGGGCTGTTGACACTGGAAGCCCTGTGCCCATGTGAGGGACCTGTGACACTGTGGCAGCCTAACTTGTTAGCTGGCAAGCGGTGTTAAAATCTCAAGTCTTTCACAGGTTCGTAGGCAGTATGCATGCTCTGCACACCCAGGAAATGGAAGCGGGTCTCCAAAGCCATCAGAAGGTCCAGACACCCACATGGCAGCAGTGATGTTGCTGATCTTCCACTCAGAGGAAGGGCAGACGCTTCTCTTACCAATGGGTGGTGGTTTTGATTTGTATTATTCAGATTGTCAGTGATGCTGAGCATTCTTTCAGTGGGTTTTAAATGACAGTTGATTTCCTCTTCTCTAAAACGCCTGCTCTTTTTGCCAACTTTTTTTTTTTTTTAAGATTTTATTGGGGAATTGGGGAAGGGAACAGTGTTGGGAAATTGGGGAAGTGGAACACTGTGTTTTTTCAGGACCCATCAGCTCCAAGGCAAGTCATTGTCCTTCAGTCTTAATTGTGGAGGGCACAGCTCAGCTCCAAGTCCAGTTGCTGTTTTCAATCTAATTGCAGGGGGTGGGGCGCAGCCCACTATTCCATGTGGGAATCGAACTGGCAGCCCTGTTGCTCAGAGCTCGCGCTCTAACCAACTGAGCCACCTGGCTGGCCCGCCAACTTTTAAAATTGTGTGTTCTGTCCTTTTTTCCTTGGTTCTTGAGGTCTCATTGTGTCTGTGGTAGGCGGGCAGCCTCCAAGATGACCCCTGCCTGAGATGACTCACACCTGCCCTTGCGTGAGTCCCTCCCCTCAAGTATGGGAGTATGGACAGGACCTAGTGACTCTCTTCTAAGGAAGAATACGACAAAAGTGATGGGATGGCATCCAAGATTATAAAAACACTGATTCCCGTGTTGCTCACCCTCTCAGTCTCGCTCTCAGAGCCCTCATTCTGGGAAAAGCAAGCTGCCATGTTGTGAGATCAAGGTGTCGGCAGGGCTGGTCGGTCTGAGGTCTCTGTCGTCCTGGTAGACATCTGTCTTCAGCCTGTGCCTTTGCCTGTCTCCCCTTCTGCACATCTCTGTTCCAGCCTGGTCTTAGAAACACTCCAACCATAAAGTGGAGTGGGGCCCACCTTAATGTCCATATTTTAACTGAGTTTTCTCTCTGAAGACCCTACCTCCAAAGGCAGACATCGTGTTGGGTGAAAGAAGTCAGACATAAAAGAGGACATAATGTATGATTCTACTCACTTGAAGATCAAAAAGGGGAAAGTTAATCTAGGGTAATAGGAGTCACAAGAAGGCAGGCCATGGGTGAGTTGTTAATAATTTTGAACAGTGGGTGGGATTTTCAGGTGTCGGTCATTAGTGTTGTTGTAGTTGAAATACAACCGGGCAGGGACACAAAGGTCAGAGGACTGTCCGTGTCTTGACGGGGTTCTGTCAGTCATACGGATGGTTATAAGGTTACTCTCCAGATTTGTGCACCCCACGGAACATACATTCTAGGTAAAAAAATTTGTTTAAATCACTATGGCATTTAGATTCAATTAGATACATTTAGAAGAGTGATGTGGCAGTTTTAATTTTTAAATGTCAATGCTAAAATTCTGGAACTATCCCAGAAATGACATCTTTAGCAACAATTTAAACTTACATTTTAAAAAGTTACATGTTCAAAAGTTACATGTTCAGGGCCGTCTGAGTGGCGCAGTTACTTAAGCGCTTGCTTAAGAGTGCAACATCTGAGCAACAGAGTCACCGGTTCGATTCCCACATGGGCCAGTGAGCTGCAGCCGAGCTGAGCTGCCGCCGAGCTGCCAATAGGTGGCAGGATGGCTCAGCTGGTGACAGCATGTGCTCCTAACAACAAGGTTGCCTGTTCGAGATGGGGGCTATGCCCGCCCGCAACTAATTGAACACAGCACCTTGAGCTGAGCAGTGCTACTGGACTTGGAGCTGAGCTAGCTGCGCCCTCCATAACTAAGATTGAAGGACAACTTGGCTGTTCCCCTTCTCCAATTCTCCAATAAAAATAAAAAATAAATAAATAAAGTTGCATGTTCACATGAAATGTGAGACAGTTCTCAAATTTCAAAATTGTTGTAGTGAGAACTTTAGCAAAAAGTGCTACAGTCTCCTCCACACTTTTCCTTGGGCAGATTTTTTTCTGTGTCATTGGGTGTTGATGAGCTGCCTGAACTCATACATCGCTAATTTAAGAAGGAGTAACCAAGGTTTGGGTGAAGGGGCAGGAAGCCACGTGCCCAGGATAGGTACATTCCTTGTGGCCACCACTAGGGGGCAGAACCAGCTTGGTGGAAGAGAAGCTGCGTTTCTGCTGGGACTTCCAGACCAGGGTAACCAGATAGAGTCTACAATCCCTCAGACAGCCTCCTGCAAATTCTGGATCACCAGTGTCCTCTCCCTCAGGGGACCTGCTCTCCCAAGGCTCCCCTGGTGAAGGGGTTCTCCAATCCCCCCCCCCAGAGCTTTCTCTACAGCGGTGGTTTCTGTTGCCCCATCATGTCCAGGGCACTCACTCCATGAGGCTGTGTCTCACAGTCCTGCACAGTCCCTGGGACCACTGGGACTGAGACCCTCCTGTGGGGGCCACTTCCTTCCCTGGAGCTGCCTGCCCCAGGCTGGCACACCTTTCCTGGGATGTGGCCAGGGTTGTTGGCCTTTGGAGGTCCCCTGGGCTGCCATGTGTCCCTGGGCAGTGCCTAGACACACAGGAAAGGCTGGGTAGTCTGGAATTGTGCCCCGACCCCCAGGACTAGGGGTCTGAGGGATGAGTAGTGGGTAGGGTGGACGTAGGATGTATGCCATCAGGACAGCTTCTTTTTTAAAAAAACAAAAACTTTATTGGGGAATTGGGGGAGGGGAACAGCGTTGGGGAATCAGGTAAGGGGAACAGACAAGTTGCGGTCGTTTGGTTCTTCAGTCTAGTTGTGGAGGACGCTGCTTCACTGGCCCATGTTGGTATTGTGATCATTTCACTCTTCCCAGCTGAGGCAGTCGGTCGCCAGCCATTGGACGGCCGCACACGGCAGCTCTCCCGGCTGCTGGCTGCTCACGGTAGCTCACAGCAGCCCACTGCAGCCCCACTGCAGCCTACGCCATTGCCGGCAACTCACTGCAGACCAGCTCCAGGTCGAGCTGTTGTTCACCATCTTAGCTGTAGAGGGCGCAGCGTCACTGGCCCTCATATGGGATCCGAACCAGGGCCCTGCTGCTCAGAGCTGGCATCTCAAACCAACTCTTAACCAACTGAGCCACTTGCCTGGCCCAGGACAGCTTCTTAAAGTTAATCTAGAAGCTCACAAGGCAGCCCTTGCTAAACGATTCTGGAGCAGTTCTTGGATTGCTTTGGAAAACTCAGAGTTCCTCTTTCTCCTGTTCTTCCTAATCCCACTCATATATAAAGTGGTGTGGCCTGTGATACTCACTGCACTCAGGGAAGATTGGGGGGCAGAGGCACCTGTAGAGCTGCCCCCTCCTCTGTAAGGAGTTGGGGGGAGCTGAGGCAGAGCCCCTCATGCAAAAGTGAGACTCTTTTGCCCCTCATTGGGCTGGGGGAGGGTCCAAGGGCTCCTTCATACAGCAGGGCCCAGTCTCTGTCCCCAGGGAGCTGGATGAAAGTCAGGACAAGAAGAGAACATGAGAGGGAGGATTGATGGGGTTGGAGCTGGGAGTCAGTTTCTGCCCAGAAGTTCCAGACTGCCCACCCCTGGAAAACAACCGCCCTTTGGGTCCAGGAGCCCCTCTGCTGAGCAAGTCTAGCCCAGTTCCCCTTTCACCCTGAAACCCCAAAGACAGCTTCCTGGGCAAATGCCCTCATGGTACTTGGCAGCCCCCAACATG